GGCACCGGTCTACTCATTTGTTTTTGGAGGCACCGGTCTACTCATTTGTTTTTGGAGGCATCGGTCTACCACCACATTGCTTTTAACACTGATCAGCTGTAGGGCGGCCCTTTGAAGCCCTGCGGCAAGAATTTAAACAGGTTTTTTCCTTCTAGCCGATCAGCTGGGACTCAGGAGGCAGCAATAGATTGGGGGAGGGGCCAAATAAAAGGTAAGAATAACACGGGTGGGGGGGAGGACCCAGCTCCCGAACAAAGAGAACCGGTTCAGTGACGTCATATGGTCACCACTACCGGCTCGGCGGAACCGGGCGGAACCCACCACTGACACAACCCCATTTAAGCCTAAACCAATATCTTGTAGAAAAAACTGTTAGACAGTGCTTATAATTTCTGCCTTTGTGCTATGTTATACTGTATAATGGATGGAAACTGACCAAGGAGAGATTCAACCTAGAAATAAGGAGAAATTTCCTGACAGTGAGAAAAATCAATCAATCAATGGAACAGAAGTTGCCTTCAGAAGTTGTGGAAGCTTCATCACGGGAGGCTTTCAAGAAAAGATTGGACTGCCATTTGTCAGAAATGGTGTGGTGTCACCTGCTTGGGTGGGAGGCTGGACTAGACTAGATGACCCACAAGGTCCCTTCCAACTCTGTTAATCTGTAAATCTGTAAAAGTTGGCAACCTGGTTATAAACATAATAGATCTCACGAAGATCCCTCTCCAGATAAAAAGCGTGTAAATGACATCTCTTCACCAAATTGTCTCTGTACAGGTAGTCCTCGGCTTGTGGCCATGATGAAGCCCAACGTTTCTGCTGTTAAGTGAGATATTCTTAAGGGAGTTTTGCCCCGTTTTAAGACCTTTCTTGCCCCCATTGTTAAGTGAATCCCTCCAGTTGTTAAGTTAGTAACCCGGTTGTTAAGTGAATCCGTCTTCCCTATTGACTTGCTTGTGAAGAAGGTCGTGTGAGGGGATCAGGTGACACAGCAACGGTCATAGATACGAACCCGTTGCCAAACTTCTGAATTTTGATCACGTGATCAAGGGGATGCTGCAAAGGTCATAACTGTGAAAAATTGTCACCTTTTTCAGAGCTGTTGTAACTTTGAACGGTCACTAAAGGAATGGTTGTAAGTCGAGAACTACCTGAACAAGTAATCCTCAACTTACAACCATTCATTTAGTGTCCATCGAGGTCTACCTGTATATTTAGGTCCGTGGTAGGATGCACCTTACCATTCTTACAGTAACTCACTGGGATAATTTATACACCATCTGGAAGCCCCAGATCTATTATGAGACCTTCTCAATTTCTCAGTCAGAATGGACTATCAAAAAGCTGTCTCAAAAGGCCACTGAACTTCTTTGATTTATCCTTGAAGACGTTTTGCTTCTCATTGAAGAAGTTTCTTCCGTTCTTCTCCAGTTCTTCGGAACTGAAGAAGCTTCTTGGATGAGAAGCGAAACGTCTTCAAGGGAAAAAAACCAAAGAAGTCCTGTCGCCTTTCGAAAAAGCCCTTTTGGGACAACCATGACCTGGATGACTGAGGATCAGTTGTGGTATTCTGCCGGTTTGGACTTGTAATCGGTATTCAGCCAGATCGGACCAGTGATCAGTATTCAGCCGGTTCAGACGGTGATCAGTTTTCAGCCGGTTCTGACCGGTGATCAGTATTCAGCTGGTTCAGACCGGTGATCAGTATTCAGCCGGTTCAGACCAGTGATCAGTATTCAGCCGGTCCAGACCGGTGATCAGTATTCAGCCGGTTTAGACCGGTGATCAGTATTCAGCCGGTTCAGACTGGTGATCAGTATTCAGCCAGTTCAGACCGGTTCGGGCGAAGTGGTAGTGGCGACCTGCCCCGGCGCTATGCCATCCTATTTAGCCATGTTTTCTAAGCTGCGTACATGCACAGAAGGTCATGCGCATGCGCGGAAGCTGCGTGAGCGAGCAAAGCAAGCGTGGGCACCTGCACGCTCACATTTTCAATGCGCGGCAAACCGGTGGTAAAATTATATGAAACCCACCTCTGCTGAGGATCTCCATAGATATCAAAGAGCTGGATTGAAGCCATACTAGCTTGGATCTCGTGAAGTTGAATGCTGATGACACAGCCTTGAAGCATACACGTGTCACCCATTTTCAGCCACAAAGGAGTTTATGGACTAGAAGAGCAAGAATTGCCAATGGCACACTCCTGGATTAAAAAAAAAAAAGCCCCACCAATTTTTGGCAACAAGGATCAGAGGAGAGTTTATGGACCACAAAAAAAAGCAAGTCCAGAAATCACAGGCAGGCTTGGTATTGGAAGTTGTTTTCCCTCAATGTCTACTGTCCCAAATAAGCCACTGAAATCAACACAGAGATCAAAATCTGTTAGTTAGAACAGCCAAAACATTTGTGATTTTCAAACCTTGCAAAGCTCACAAACTCTACTTCTTTCCTGATTAAAAAACAGGGATTTGTGTTCGAAACCGAAAAGCCGTTTCATGACGTGGAGGCAAGGTTAAAAATATGGCCCTGTTTTTAATCTTGGGAGAACAACTGTGCATGAATTCTCAGGATGGTAGCTTGTAAAGTTAACTGAGGATTAGTCAAAGGCAGGTAAGCCAATGTACCGAATTTTGGGTGCCACGGAAACTGATACCACTGATTGCCACAGAGACTCAAGAAAACCTTTCCCATCTCCTGCCCTACAACTGTTTTGCCCCATAAAAGGATTATTTAAAAGAGAATATTTGTAGTTCTGGATTTAACTGTGGGGCCCTTAATGCTCTCTGAGCTTGGTTGTTTTCTTGCAGATCTTTCATTACCCATGTCGGTAACATCATCAGGGCTAGGCACTGAAGATGTTACATAGTTGGGTAATGAAGCTAGAAGTTGCACCAAGGACCGCACACATTATTTGAAGTTTAAAATCAGGTTCTCCAAGAGTGTGGCACCATTCCTGTGAACCAGAAGTTACAAACAATCCTTAATAAAAATTGTGTTTCTGGTGTGCATGCATGCGTGACAATCATCTGTCTGCGCACGTGGGGCAGTGTCGAAAACCGGTTGGCGCATGTGCACCAGCCAGCTGATTGTTGGGCGCACATGCGCGCCAGAACCCAGAAGTTGGCTTTTCTGGAACGCGGCTCTGACGAGCACCAAGTGCCGAAAAAAGGTTTGCCATCATCGCTGCCCTATCCCATTTCAGACAAATGGTTGCCCAATCTCTTCTTAAATACTTCCAGTGTTGGAGCATTCACAACTTCTGGAGGCAAGTTGTTCCACTGGTTAATTGTTCTCACTGTCAGGAAATTCCTCCTTAGTTCTAGATTGCTTCTCTCCTTGATTAGTTTCCATCCGTTGCTTCTTGTCCTGCCCTCAGGTCCTTTGGAGAATAACCAGTTCCTGCAACCATTCATTGTATGTTTTATCCTCCTAATGCTCTTTCCTTAATATTGATACTCCTTCCTAATACTCCTTCCTAATCATCCTCCCTACTACTCCATCCTCTTCCTATTTTCCCCACAAGATAATTGAGATCATTTGGGCTGAGAGAAAGAGGGACCGGCTGAAATTCACTCCTCTGGTTTACCACGTTTTTTCTAACATATCCAAATAAATTGCCATGGTGGTTACAAGCAAGGGCTTCGCGTGGCCGTTGGCAAGCAGGCAGATGGAAGCTTATTTTACATTTCAAGGTAAAAGTGTACACGTATATACAAATAAAGCAGGCTGTCTTTGACCATGTGGGATTGCAGTTCCTGTCAGGATGAGCTCCCTCTTCTCTGATACTTTTAGATGGACGTTACCGCCCAATGCTACCACAAGGGACTGAACTGAAGAAGGCAGTTTAAGAAAACTACCGTGTTTCCCCGAAAATAAGACCCCGTCTTATATTTTTTTGAACCCTGAAATAAGCGCTTGGCCTTATTTTCGGGAGGTTTTATTATTTTGGGGCGCAGGGAGCTCCTCTTGCTGTCTTACCTGATTTCCAGCTCTGTGTTTAAATATTTTCGGGGAGGGCTTATTTTCAGGGGGAGACTTATTTTAGCATATGCTCTCAAAAGCCTGACTGGGTTTATTTTCAGGGGATGTCTTATTTTCGGGGAAACGGTAAAATTATCCATAAAAAGTGTTTTGACTTCGACCTCTAGCCAATGAAGCATTAGAACCCTGACAGGAATTCTAGAGCCGGGGCCCACCACCCCCAGTCCATGAACTGGCACGGGGCCACGGCATGCCAGAAATCGGGCCCTGCAAACAAGCAAAGCCCCATCCACGGGATGAAGGTAGCACACGAAATGATACTTCCTCCGGTCCGTGGAAAGAACTCTCTCCACAGAACGGGTCCCTGGTGCCCAAAAGATTGGGGGTTGATGTTCTAGACTACTAAAGAAAATATTCAGAGGGGTGCTACCGTGTTTCCCCGAAAATAAGACCCAATCGGAAAATAAGCCCTAGCATGATTTTTTCCAAGATTGTCATAATATAAGCCCTACCTCCCCCCCAAAAAAATAAGCCCTAATTAAGATCATCAGCCAGACGGATGGATTTTAGTACTGTATTTCCCCGAAAATAAGACCCAATTGGAAAATAAGTCCTAATGCATCTTTTGGAGCAAAAATTAATAAAAGACCCGGTCTTATTTTGGGGAAAACACGGTATTAGTCACTTAAAAGAGCAAATAGGGAGAAGGAATTTGAGGTAACACCTTTCCTCCCTTAATTATTGAACCTTATTCTCAAGATATCATGAGAGTTGAGGAGTACATGCTGATCACTTCCCCTCTCAAAGTAACGAAAAGCAGGCATAATTTTTTAATGCGTAAAATCTGTATAAGTTTTAAGCCCAGTTTTCCTTTAAAAGAACGCCCAAAGGAAACTGAATATTTATGTATCATTCTCTAAGTCGGAGTAGGGAACGATGGCCTCTTTATGACTTGTGGACTTCAACTCCCAGAATTCCTGAGCCATCCTGACCCAGGAATGCTGGGAGCTGAAGTCCACAAGTCATAAAGGAGCCATTGTTCCCCACTTCTGCTCTAATTTATGGTTAGCACATGCTGGAATGGATTTAGTGTTTATATCCAAGACTTTATATTTTGACAGGGATCCAGAGTTATGCTAACTCTTGAATGGAAATTGATGATCTCCAACTCTTCATGTATAAACATCTCTTGAAAAAAAATTGGTCTTCTTCTTTAAAAAAATACTTTATATACAGTATATGGCAACTGTAAGGATCCACCAGTAGCACTTTGAGACTTCTTCTGTGGGATAGTCCAAGCATTATATATAGAAAGATGACACAATCACGCCTGATTCTTATGGATCTTGGAAAAATACTTTCCCTCAAAATTCTAATAAATCAACTACAGGTAGTCCTCAACTTACAGCCACAGTTAGAATCGGAACGTTTGTTGCTAAGTGAGGGGGTTTGTCAAATGAGTCATTGGCCAATTTCATGACCTGTTATGCTATGGTCATTAAGACGCCATGGTTGTTAAATGGTTGTTAAGCGAATCTTGCTTCCCCCGTTGACTTCACTTGTCAGAAATGAGCTTGGAAGATGACAAATGGCAATCAGTTGCCAACCCCTTCCTGGGCAGGGGGTTGGACTAGAAGACCTCCAAGGTCCCTTCCAATTCTGTTATTCTAGTCTAAGTGCCCAAATTTTGATCATGTGACTCGGGGGGAGGGGGGGAGAGCTCTGATGATCAAAAGTGTAAGGACTGATTGTAAGTCCCTTTGTTTGGTGCTGCTGTAACTCCGAAGAGCCTTGGTAGTACAGTGGTTTAGAGCACCCTGTCATTAACACAGCTGCCTGCAATTACTGCAGGTTCGAATCTCACCAGGCTCAAGGTTGACTCAGCCTTCCATCCTTTCTAAGGTAGGTTAAATGAGGACCCAGTTTGTGGGGGCAATAAGCTGACTTTGTATAAATATACAAAAGTATGAAGGCTATTGCTTAACGCATTGTAAGCCGCCCTGAGTCTCCGGAGAAGGGCGGCATATAAATCAAATTAAAAAAAAAATTAAAAAAAATGAATGGTCGTAAGTAAAGGACTACCGGTAGGATACAGAAATGATTCGATACAGCTAGAAGATCTCAAAACACCAGTAATTATTTTTCTTTTCCCCACAGAGGGGCTCAAATGTTATGTCTGATGCATCAATTAGGACAGTGTTTCTTCAACCTTGGCAACTTTAAGATGTGGGAACTTCAACTCCCAGAATTCCCCAGCCAGCCAGCTTGGAGAATTCTTGGAGTTGGAAGTCCACACATCTTAAATTTGCCAAAGTTGAGAAACCCTGAATCGGGACATCCATCCGGCAGCTGAGGTAGTTCAAAGCAAGTCTTGCTTAGCGCCGTTGTCGTTTGAAGCAGGTTCTAGATTCTCCATCACCAAAACCTGCGTCTTGTCCACCCAGTTCCCCTTTTGAGTGGACCGCCCGGCGACGCACGAGGATAGATCGTGGTCTATCTGCTGGGGCACTGTGGCTGGCAAGACCGCATTGCTTTGTGCCCGTTGAGAATACATTTCCCGAGGTATCGCCTCCCCGGAGCAGAGCTGCAGCTGAAATGCAGCTTGGAAACCTCGACGGAAGTTCTCGTTGAAGTAGCCGTAGATGATTGGGTTGACGCTACTGTTGAAGAAGGCCAACCAATGGGCAAAGGGGTAGACGTAGATATTGATGAGCTTATACTGTGCCTCGTCCAGTTCTGCATAATCGGACAGCATGGCCAAGGTCCACAGGGGCAACCAGGAGAGGATGAACAATAAAGCCACGATGATCAGCATCTTGATGACCTTCAACTTCTTCTTGTAGACGGAGTGGCGCTCGTGGCCTTGCTTTCCAGAGGCGAGCACCGTGTTGAAGAGCGTGATCCCTATCCGAGCGTACATGATGACGATGAGTGACAGGGGAGCCAAGTAGATGTTGGCGAAGAGGACAGTGGTGTAGATCTTCTTCATGTCCTCGTTGGGCCAGTCTTCCCGGCACCAGTAGATGGGACGGGTTTGGTTGTCCTCGCCAAGAATGACCTGGAAATGCTTTTCTTCTATTAGCTTCAGCATGACAGCAGATGGACACATGATGACAATAGCCAGGACCCAGATGATGGCTATCAACATAAGTGCTATCCACACGGTAAGTTTTGGTTTGAAGGGATAAACAATAGAACGGAACCTGCAAGGAGGAGGAGAAGAAGGAACAGTTAAGTTCGTCAAACAGCAACACTGTGGAATAGTCGCATTATCACAAGCGGTTTTTATTGTGCTAAGAATCACAGAATCCCAACAGAATAACACAGAGTTGGACGGGACCTTGGAGGTCTTCTACTCCAGCCCATGGCAGGAGAGACTATTCCATTTCAGACAAATGGCTGTCCAATCTCTTCTTGAAAACCTCCTCTAATGGAGCTCCCACAACTTCTGAAGGCAAGCTCTTTCACTGATTTTATAATTTCCACTGTCAGGAATTTGGATCCTTCTCTGATAAGTTTCCATCCATGACTTCTTGTCCTGCCCTCAGGTGCTTTGGAGAATAGGGGGACCCCCTTTCTCTGTGATAGCCGCTCAAAGGTTGGAAGACTGCTGATATGTCACTCCAGGTTCTTCTCTTCTTTAGACTAGACATACCCAGTTCCTACAACCGTTCTTCATATGCTTTAGCCTCCAGACTTCTTATCAACTTCGTTGCTCTTCTCTGCACTGTTTCTATGGACTCAACATCTTACATCTTACTTCTTGTCCTGCCCTTTGATGCCTAGGAATTTTCTAATTTTTTTTCTTTCTTTCTTTCTTTCTTTCTTTCTTTCTTTCTTTCTTTCTTTTTTCTGTCTGTCTGTCTCTCTTTCTTTCTGTCTGTCTGTCTGTCTGTCTTTCTTTCTTTCTTTCTTTCTTCCTTCCTTCCTTCCTTCCTTTCTTTCTTTCTCTCTCTCTTTCTTTCTCTTTCCTTCCCACTTCCTCTCTCCCAAACTAGACTTCAGTCCTAATCTCTCTCTCTCCCACTATATCCTTCCTTCCTTCCTTCCTTCCTTCCTTCCTTCTTCCTTCCTCCTTCCCTCCCAAACTAGACTTCAGTCCTAATCTCTCTCTTTCTCCATCTATATCTTTTCTTTCTTCTTTCTTTCTTTCTTTCTTTCTTTCTTTCTTTCTTTCTCTCTCTCTCTCTCTCTCTTTCTTTCTCTTTCCTTCCCTCTTCCTCCCTCCCAAACTAGACTTCAGTCCTAATCTCTCTCTCTCTCCCTCTATACCTTTTCTTTCTTTCTTTCTTTCTTTCTTTCTTTCTTTCTTTCTTTTTTCTTTCTTTTTTTCTTTCTTTCTCTTTCCTTCATTTCTTCTTTCTCTTTCTTTCTCTCTCTCTCTTTCTTTCTCTTTCCTTCCTTCTTCCTCCCTCCCTCCCTCCCAAACTAGACTTCAGTCCTAATCTCTCTCTCTCTCCCTCTATATCTTTTCTTTCTTTCTTTCTTTCTTTCTTTCTTTCTTTCTTTCTTTCTTTGGTTAAAGAGAAACAGTAATCTACAAAGGCCACCTCTTTTCTGTCAAACATTACAAAAAATAAACTAGAATTCTGAATGCACATACAATTAGTTTGATCGATTATGGCTTTGGAACAATGCTTGGATTTCTAAGTTTCCTTAACCATAAAGCACACAATCGAAGCTGTTATCTACCGGTACGTATTTCATGTCACGGTGCGGAAACATCTGAGCAAAACTAGATGAACTGTGGACCTAGGTGCTTTGTGCTTTCTATCCTCATTTTCCCCTGGATCTCACTACCAAGTCTGGAGAACACGCCATTCTAAGCAACAGAAGAACAACCGATTTCTGTACTCTCTATCCAATTTTGAGGTTTATACAAAGCCATACCTGTCAACTGCAATGGCCACCAAAGTGAAGACAGAAGCAGAAACAGAGATTCCCTGAACGGTGCCATTCATTTTGCAGGCAATGCTTCCAAAAGGCCATCCTGGAAAAGAAAGCATTGTTTTAGATGAAAAGGTCAACAACCGTATTCAATTCTTTTCACTTAAGTGCACCAAAAAAGAAAGGCTACAGCATTCAATAACTTTTATATTAAATGGAAAAGGTCTTCAAGAAAACAAGCAAGGTATAAAGAAAATAAATATAAAATATTTTATAGGTGGCATCTCCCACCTGCCAGATTGGCAAAGATGTTTCCAAATACCTCCCCACTATGTTGGAAATGTAAACATCAAAAAGGAACTTATTATCACATGTGGTGGTCCTGCCATAAGGCAATACAATTTTGGCAATAATTAAAACACCAATAGAAGAAATTATAAATCAACAAACAGAAATGAGGCCAGAAACTTTCCTACTGGGAATAATTACTGGGTCATATGAAAAAGAAATAAGATACTTAATTATTCACATAATTACAGCAGCAAGAATAGTTTTCACCCCAAACTGGAAAAACAATGACATATCACCAGAAGACAAGGTGATTAGAAAAATTATGGAGGGTGCGGAAATGGATAAGCTCACAAAGGAGATACAAGAAAAAAGTGAAACAGAATACTACTTAGTCTGGGAGAAATGGTATAAATGGTTGGAGGAGAACGGTGGAAAAAAAAGGGGGGGACAAAAGAAAATTAAACGATGGTTAAAATAGGTGGAGAAGTATGGAAACAAATAAGATATAAATTGTGGAAAGAAAATTAGGTACCTGTTTATGTTAAATGTAAATAAAATATTTAGATTAAGAGATTATTATTATTATAACGGTATATATATGATATACTAGAAATATATGTATAAAAGATATATTAAGGTAAGAAAGAGAAAATGTATAAATATGGATTACTGATGCGAAGATGTTGAAAAGAAGATGTAAATATCTGTTTGTGTTTGTGTTTTTATTGTTTATTTGTTTGTTTTTTAAAAAAACTGTTTAATAAAAATTATTTAAAAGAAAAAAGAAAACAAGCAGAGAACATCAAGAACCCACACTTTTCTTCCTCCTCCTCCTCCTCCTCCTTGTAAACCCCACTTCCTTCTAGCACTGATGATGTTACTTAGTCAGGTAACGAGATGTCTGGAAGAGAATAACTGAGTTGAGGGAGCACCAAGGGCTCTACAGGTTACTTATCGTAACGCAATCTCGCAAGTTGGATTGTGTTTCCCCCTCGTCCCTCTTCGACATTCGCAGGAACGATTCCCCCCCCCCAAAGGATGCCATGCCCCAGGGGCCCATGTACCTGTTATGATGTTGTCCAGGAGAGTGGTGGGCATGCAAAAGACGCCCACCAGCAGATCGCTGACCGCCAGATTCAAGATGAAGAGATTGGTGACGGTGCGCATATGCTTGCTCTGCAGAACGGTAAAGCAGACGACCCCGTTGCCGATCATGCACAGAAGGAAGATGAAGAGGTAGGAGACGATGAAAATAGAAGCAACAAGGGGGTGATGGAGGTAAAAACCCACATAGGTGACGTTGGGTTCCATCTGACACGCATTGACCGCAGCGGTACAATTTCTCGGAGAGAGTTCGCCCATCGAAGAACCCAGCTCCTCGTTCTTATCCATCTTAAGCGGCACCTCGAAGCAAAAATTTTAAAAAAAAACCAATAAGTTAGTGGAGAAGAAAAGGCAGTAAGTAAGGTAAGTCCTCGAGTTACAGCCGCCATTGAGCCCAAATTTTCTGCTGCTAAGAAGCAAGAATTCTAAGAATCCCATTGCTGGAAAAATAATACCATTTTCAGCAGTGGTGAAATGCAATTATTTTACTACCGGTTCGGTGGGAGTGGCTTGGTGGGCGTGGTGTGGCTTAGTGTCCGTGGCTTGGTGGGAGTGGCAGGGGAAGGATATTGCAAAATCCCCACTCCCTCCCCACTCTGGGGCCAGCCAGAGGTGGTATTTGCTAGTTCTCCAAACTACTCAAAATTTCCGCTACCAGTTCTCCCGAACCTGCAGGATTTCACCCATGCCTTTCAGGCTGGGCTAACAAGATTTACATTGCTAAGTGAGATGGTCGTTAAGTGAGTTTTACCCCCTTTTACGACCTTTCTTGCCACAGTTGTTATGACAATAATTGCCTTTGTTAAGTTAGTAACATGTTTGTTAAGTGAATCTGGGTTCCCCATTGACTTTGCGTATAAGGTTCCAAGTAACATTGACTTAACATTGACTTCTGACATTGCGTGTTAGAAGGTCGCAAAAGGGAATCACGTGAGCCCAGGACACTGCAACCGTCGTAAATACGAGTCAGTTGCCAAGGATATAAATTTGGATCACGTGACCCTAAGGATGCGGCAGCGGTCATAAGTGTGAAAACGGTCATAAGTCGCTTTTTTTCAGCCCCGGTGTAACTTTGAATGGTCACTAAATGAACTGTTGTAAGTCGAAGACTACCTCTTGAAGCTGTCCTCCTCTTACAACCATTCGTTTAGTGACCGTTCGAAGTGACAACAGCACTGAAAAAAATGTGACTTCGGGTCATTTTTCACACTTTTTTTTTTAAATATTTTATTAATTTTATTATATATACATAAAAATATAATGACAGTTCTGTTTGACATTGGATATGCAGTGTTTATACATAATTACATGAAAAAAAAATCTGGTGTCACTTATACTATATATTTCTAATTGGTTTCTGCAGCTTTTTCTCCTTCCTTAATTTTATCATTCATCCATTCGTACCACCTTCCCCACACGGTATAGTAGTATGAATTCTCATCATTATTTATTTCATGGGTTAATTTACTTATCTCCGCGCACTCCAATATTTTCCTAATGATAAGTTCTTCCGGTGGTGGGTCTTTCTCTTTCCAGTATTGTGCGTATGCCAATCTAGCAACTGTAGTTATGTGTATCAGGAGGTGGACCTTTTCCTTTCCATACCCTTTCTTTACTATTCCCAGGAGAAATATTTCTGGTGTCAATTCAATATCTTCTCCAATTATTTCTTGCAACCATCTCCGAATTCTACTCCAGTATCTTTTTGCCTCGGGGCATGTCCACCACATGTGATAGAAGGTGCCCTGACCATGACCACATTTCCAACAGTTTGGATACATATTGGGGAACATCTTTGCTAATCTAGCAGGTGCTAAATGCCACCTATGGAGCATTTTGTAATGATTTTCCTTATATGTGGCAGCTCTGGTCAATTTATAATTTGTGTTCCACGCCTCTTCCCATTCATTAAAATTTAAACTATGCCCAATATTTCTCTCCCATGCTGTCAGTTGATTTCTGGCTGCGTCCTCGGCTCTCTCTTCGTCTAATAGGTAGTTATATAGCTTGGTCAAAGCTTTTTTTCCTGTTCCCATCAAAATTTTGTCTATTCCATTATATCCTAATTCTAAACCGTATTCATCCTTGTCTCTCTGGTATCTTGATTTTATTTGCAGATAGGTCCACCAATCTAGAATTTTACCTTGATCTCTCAATACATCATTTGATCTGATAATTCCTCCTCCGTCCACAATGTCTTTATATCTGCACAATTTCTCCATTCCCCATCTATTGGGGTAAATCAATGCCTCCACCGTGGAGAGCCATTTTGGGACTTTTACATAGTATCTCTGCCTCATTCCCGTCCATGTTTGTATTAGGGAGTCCCTAATTTTATGTCTATGGAAATAAGTTTTCTTTCTCTTCATATTTTCACACTTACGACCGTCGCAATATCCCACTGTCATGTGATCAAAATTCAGACGTTTGGCAATTGGCAAATATTTATGATGGTCGCAGTATCCCAGGTTCACGTGATCCCCTTTTGCGACCTTCTGGGGAAGCCAGATTCACTTAACAACCATGTTACAAACTTAAGAACTGAAGTGACTCACTTAGCAACTGTGGCAAGACAGATCATAAAAGGGGATAAAGATCACTTAACAACTATCTTTCTTATCAACAGGAATTTTGGGCCCAGCCATATTAACCAGTCAAACATTCTTCTCCCTGAAAGGAATATTATTTTTCTTTTTAAAAAATACAGAAAATAAGAACCACTCATCCCATGCTAACCACAAAGAGAAAATGCAATTATCAGAAGCCCATTTATGGGCAGTAAAATTGCTTTTGTGGCATTTAATGAAAACAAAAGGATGAGTGTTTACATTATATTTCAATTTAGGGGTGTTTCTAATACAATTATTTGGGAGATCAATTCCCTTCTCGCTTTTACTCCTCCGTGAAACAATTCTGGCGTTCCCTCCAGAAAAAATAAAATTACAGATTGAAGATTTGTTGGAATCTGTCTGCGAGAAATATATGTTTTGCCAGCAAACGCAGCCTGTATGAAAAGGGAATTTCGCCTGTCAAAATATTACCTGAAAGATCATATTCCCTCTTCCACCACCAACCCACACACTTACTTCCTTTTTCATCATTGTTACAGTAGTGACGGCAGGTTTCATACCGTCAACTGACAAGAAGATCCTTTGCAGATTGAAGAGTAGACTAGAAATAGAATGAAGTTGAGGACGGCCTGGTATTACAGAAAATTAAAAAGAAGTTTTACAAGTTATGCTAAAAAGGAGTTAAAGGTAAAGGTAAAGGTTCCCCTCGCACATATGTGCTAGTCGTTCCCGAGGCCATTCTCATTTCCGTTTCAAAGCCGAAGAGCCAGCGCTGTCTGAAGACGACTCCGTGCTCATGTGGCTGGCATGACTAAATACCAAAGGTGCACAGAACGCTGTTACCTTCCCACCAAAGGTGGTCCCTATTTTTCTACTTGCATTTTTTAAGTGCTTTCGAACTGCTAGGTTGGCAAAAGTTGGGACAAGTCACGGGAGCTCACCCTGTTACGCGGCACTAGGGATTCGAACCGCTGAACTGCCGACCTTTCGATCGACAAGCTCAGTTTCTTAGCCACTAAGACACCACGTCCCTAAAAAGTGGTTAGGGTACCCCAAATTAAAATGGCAGGGCTCGTTTAGCTCTTAGCCAGAGACCTGATGAAAATAACACTAGCAATAACAATAACACTTAGATTTATATACCACTTCACAGTACTTTACAGCACTCTCTAAGCAGTTTACAGAGTCAGCCTATTTCCCCCAACAATCTGGGTCCTCATGTTATCGACCTCGGAAGGGTGAGTCAACCTTGAGCCGGTCAGGATTGAACTGCTGGCAGTGGGCAGAGTTAGCCTGCAATACTGCATTCTAACCACTGAGTCACCAGGAAGGAGAATGAGAAAGGGAATTAAGAGAGAGAGAGAGAGGAAGGAAGGAAGGAAGGAAGGAAGGAAGGAAGGATGGAAGGAAGGAAGGAAGGAAGGAAGGCAATAGCATTTAGACTTATATACCGCTTTGCAGTGCTTTACAGCCCTCTCTAAGTGGTTTACAGAGTCAGCATGTCGCCCCCAACAATCTGGGTCCTCATTTTACCCACCTCGGAAGGATGGAAGGCTGAGTTAACCTTGAGCCAGTCAGGATCGAACTCCTGGCAGTTGGCAGAATTAGCCTGGAATACTGCACTCTAACCACTGTGTCACCAAGAAGAAGAAGGCGAAAGGGAGGGAGAGAGGGAGGAAGGAAGGAAGGAAGGAAGGAAGGAAGGAAGGAAGGAAGATCAGTAGCACTTAGACTTATATACCACTTCACAGTGCTTTACATCCCTCTCTAAGCAGTTTACAGAGTCAGCACATTGCCCCCAACAATCTGGGGTCCTCATTTCACTGATCCTGGAAGGATGGAAAGATGAGCCAATCTTGAGCCGGTCAGGATCAAACTGCTGACAGTGGCAGAATTAGCCTGCAATGCTGCATTTTAACCACTGCACCACCAGGGTTAGAGAATTGCTAAAGTATGGGGGGGGAAAGAATTGGCCTTCTGAGCTTTTTCTTCTTCTTCACAAAGTTGAAACTAGAGGCTCTGAATAGCCTACCAAGAAAACTGAGGTTATATACCGAATTCCCAAATATAGAAAATATAGAAACTAAATATACCAAGAAGACTGGATGTCCCTAATTTGCATTTGACTTAACCTTGTTCCACCTTCTTTTGTGAATGACAGAATTAGCACACAAAAGGAGGGGAGGACAGAGGTATATTTATGTGCATGCAAAAAAAAAATTTTCTTTTCCATTTGGCTAAAGATAGTTTGCCTAATTCAAATGAACGTGTACAATTTGTCTGGTTGCATTTTGGTTTTAATAACTTTCTTGACAGAGAAGATTTATGCCTTAACTCATTCCCCCCCCCCCCCCCCCCCCCCCATTATCTTCCTTTTGGTTTCTTGAAAGAAAAGCACTTTTCACATGCTCGGCGTTTGATCTTAACCGCAATTAATAAATTGCTCAATGATTGATGGTATAAACAAGAAAGGGGGCAGTCAGTATTTCTAACTGTTAACTGATCGTTGCTGAATGGTTTAATGAGAGACGTCCAGAGGAAGACAAATCTTATTGGCTGTTTGAATTGATCGATTGATTGATTTTTACAAATAACTCAAGGCAACAAACATATTCAGCACAATGTCCTCCATTTTACCTACAACAAGAAGAACCCTGTGAGGTGAGTTGGGCTTAAAGAGAGTAAGTGGCCCAAAGTCACCCAGCTGGCTTTCACTTCTAAGGCAGGACT